ATGAAAATCATATTTTACATTTTATAAAATAGGAAAAAAATTACACGCGATTATTTACGAAATGGGCATGTAATATTTCTCATAATTTGGATATCTATATTTCTAATTAAAATGTTTGTCATTTTTTTTTTTTTTTAATTGTGAAAATGTTGTTATATTATTTTTATGCACGCATTGTTTTTATTAATTTATTGCTATCATTTAAACAACCACGAAAATTGATCGGTTTTTATCTAAAACGTAAGTAACGCATTTCACGATGAAAATAATTTAAACGCGGCTTAGTGTAAAATAAATTATTAGAGATTGAAGTGAAAAATATTTATTTTTTTCATATATGAACACGTGATGAACTGAGTTATTTTATTCCTTTGTTATGATATAATACTAAAAAAATTATGTTTAATTTTATAAAATGTGTATCTACAACATGATATAACATTAATTTTACGAAAACATTATATTGTTTAGTTATAAAATAATATATTTTGGTGACCTAATTCGTGTTTAACGAAATTAAATCGTATTATATCCTTTCATACGTATAACCTACAAATACTATTTGCATATCCAAAATAAAATATTTACCTATTTCGTTTCCACATAGACTTGGAATGAGGTTTATAATTTTAAAACATGATGGATCTTCGTTACATAAAGATCGCGCCAACAAACAATTCAGACTTCCCGTWGGCGTTTTATCTTCTGCGAAAAAAAAAACAATTATATTAATGAAAATAAATACAATTCAAATATGCTATCAATTAATTATATGATATTAGATCAGATTAAACTCCAATATWCTCATTAATTTAATGAGCAACAAATGGTCTGTAAAGTAAACTCAATATAAAACGCATGTAATTAGATTATTATTAATTATAATTTACTATACATAATATAGTTAAATAAAAAATATAAAATATGGTCAGAAACGCCTCGGAAATAAACGTACATATTATATAAAATATTTTATCACAATATTCAATTAATTTCACTTTTCATCTTTCAGCACAATATGAGCTTTTTAAATTTAGCGGAACACGGGGAAAATTCTATGGGAAAAATAGGCAATAACATGATCGGTTTTGTACTATTTAAAAGGATGTCGTGTATCACTCTGAAATCAATATAATTTAATAAACAAATACCCATTTACTTATTTATTTTATTTTAGGGTTCAGAATGGTACGTAATTACAAATGTAAAAACTACTATACCAGTCTGATTAAAAAGTATTGTTTATTTTCAAATTTGATAAATTATTAATTTACAGAAATATACATTTTTAATGATTTCGCTTTTATGTTGTTTTAACACCATCGCATAAT